GAACTAATACTGAAAGAATGTATTTTCTTCTTCACTCCTCCCCCTATTTCTATTGTTCATTATTATTTAGAGTAGTTAATGCAACAGTGCAGTAAGTTGACTTTCTGGTAGATTCCATGGAGAATTACTGAGTCTGCATCGTGAGTGTGTTGCATCTTGGCTATGGAACTGCCACCAGGAATCTTGCAGCATTTACAAGTCTCTCTCTTGTTCTTTCTCTCTCTCTCTCTCTCTCTCCTTCCTTCCTCTTCCTCTTCTTTCATTTCCACATCATCTGTCACTGTTGCTATTTTGGGGGAATGGCACAGCTTGTGTTTGCTCTGGGGGCCTCTGGTGAATTGCTGTGTAGTGTAACTAAATCAGTTAAGTGTATCTAAAGAGGTTAGGATTAAACTGCCAATTTTATGTGTGTTGCATTCCCAGCCTTTTTTTGCTACATTGAGAAATGCTGTAACAGGTCTCCAGCTGTTCAGGCATGTCCCTGACATTGTTTCAGTAATTCTGATCTAGAAAATAGCCTCTCAGAAAGAGACAGTGGATATGAGATCCTAGATGCCCTCCTTTTCACAAAAATGACATTTCCCTCTACATTTTTTTGCTCATATGTGTGAAGCAAATATGAAGCAAAAAGAATCTACAAATTTTTTTTAAAAAAATTGAAATGGAAAGATAAAAATTAAATTGTCCTTTAAAAAATAATCGGCAATGCCATTTTAACTGGTGGTATATTAATCATTTTCAACTTTCTTTCTTTCTTTCTTTCTTTCTTTCTTTCTTTCTTACTTACTTACTTACTTACTTACTTACTTACTTACTTACTTACTTACTTACTTACTTACTTACTTACTTACTTACTTACTTACTTACTTACTTACTTACTTACTTACTTACTTACTTACTTACTTACTTACTTACTTACTTACTTACTTACTTACTTACTTACTATTTTGGTGCACTGAAAAGCTTACATATACCACATGATAAAGACAGAAAGCTATGTAGGAACTCTAGAAAAGGAAAACTGGTTTCAGCTGTTCAGTAGTAGAAACCCAGACTTCAAGAGTTAAATGGGGAAAACAAACACAAATCATGGTAATGGGAAAGAGAAACAGGGAGTAGAAGACAGAAAAAGAAAGAGGCATTTCTGTTCAAAATTATAAACAAAATTATAAACTACAGGAAAGTAAAAAGAGCTCCACAGATTAAATGAATTAATATATTTTTAAAAGAAAGGTATGAGAACAGCTAGATAGTGGTTGGGAGTTCAAATCCCCTCTGTGCCTCCTTGACAGGGGCTGGACTCGATGATCTATAAGGTCCCTTCCAGCTCCGTAGTTCTAAGATGATGAATATGAAATAAACAAAATTATAAACTACAGGAAAGTAAAAAGAGCTCCACAGATTAAATGAATTAATATATTTTTAAAAGAAAGGTATGAGAACAGCTAGATAGTGGTTGGGAGTTCAAATCCCCTCTGTGCCTCCTTGACAGGGGCTGGACTCGATGATCTATAAGGTCCCTTCCAGCTCTGTAGTTCTAAGATGATGAATATGAGTCAAGTGTCATTTTTGAACCTTGCTTCTAAAGTTTTTGCTTATACCCAGATTATATGAAGAAATAGTAAATAAGAAGGACCTTTTGAGTATGCGCAGAGTACATTTCCTTACTACATAATCACAGCTTTATTCGGGGTGGAGCAGGATTTTTATCTGTTAACTTTAATGAATCTTTCAATTTTGATTCAATATGACCCAATTATTTCTGACTTATACATAGGATTCTTCAGTAATTCTTGTATAACAAAGAATGATATTTTGGTTAACAGCGTATTAAAGGAGTAGCCTCACCACCATTAGAATGCAATCCTCCTAATAAAATAATGTGATTTGCATGCATGTTGGACATTCCCTGAGCATTAAAAAAGTGCAGGAGGTAGTGGAGTTATTTTGACATTTTAGTGGAACCTCTCAGAATTAACTCCCTGCTGAAGATGCTCACAATTTTCACATGCTCCTCTGGGCACGCTCCAAAGGACCTGCACTCAATTTGTGTGGAATAATGCACTCAGGAAGAAATTCAATTACTGAGCTAATTATCACCCTGACTGAGTGGTAAGAACAAAATTTAAAGCAAGAAGCCACCAGAGGAAAGTCTGCATTGCCCAGGAGTTCCAGAAGCTCATTTTAAAAAGAAACCCTTCCTGACAGCTGAAAGCCCAGGGGTAAATCTGCAACTGAGTCTGGAATTCAGGATATTAGAATTTTAATGCTGTGCAGATTCTGTAGCTTGTGACAAGTGGCGACAATTCAGCGGCTGTAACTGCACAAAGTTTTAATTCCAAAATAGACAATGTAGTTGTCCCTTAACTAAATGATTTCATATTTTTAGAACTTTTGTAGAGAAGTACTTTTTCTTCTTTTTTGGGGGGGGGGCAAAGTTTTTAATAATAGAAAAGGGAGGAAGCAGAGTTTTTAAACCATGTAAGATAAAATTTCAAGTTGTCCCTTAAATTACCTTACAACTGGCCAAAGTACGCAATCATTTTTGATGCACCAGATTACCCCATGAAATGTTTTAATGATTGCATGTCTTTTTCCACATATACAAGCAAAACACTCTATATGACTGTGTTATGGTTTTCCACATATACAAGCAAAACACTCTATATGGCCGTGTTATGGAGAACACGGCCAAACAGCCCGAAAAAAACAGAACCATCGGATCCTGGCTGTGAAAGCCTTCGAGAAGACAAAATACTCTGGACTTCCAGGTTTTTGTGTTTTTTTTTGAAAACGTAATAGCCATCATCTTATGTTGCAACAAACCATGGTATAGTTGGTTGAAATCTGGTTTGCTATGATGTGCAAACCTGTCACTTTTAAGAAAGGACAGTGTGTTAAATAGCCAGAAACCAACATTGCTGTTGTTTTGTGGACTCAACAACTGCACCTTGTTGGGACATACAGACCTGTAGTTGTGGATTGTTCCTGGCATCTTCCCCAGCTGGCTAGTTGAACAGAAGCTGACAAAGGGATCAAAAATGAAACAAACAAGAAATAAAAGTCACAGCTGAATCATCTGCTGTGCAATTCATGGTTAAGGAACAAAGAATGGTTGGTGCAAACCACAGCCTATTATGGCATGCAAACATGTAAAGGTTTATGATAAGATTCTCCTCATTAGCTGAACCAGCATTTTGGGTCATCTGCATTACTTTTCTGGTATGATATAAGGGGCATTTTTGTGTAGTATGGTTGGTGGGATGTTTTTTCACTGAGTAACAGATTTGATATTTATTTCCTGGATAACCTGATGGGTGGGTGAAGTTCCTTTAAGGAGAACTCCAAATGTCCTCTCCCGACCAATCTGATTAACAGCCGGGCGGCAGGACGGCCGCTGGTCGACGCTGGGGTGGCCCTTTTCCCAGCTGGTGGCGAAATCCACAGCCTTCGCAAGATCACATTGGAGAAGTACGACTATCTTGCTCGAAAGCTTCTCACTCTGCAGACCAAAAATAAACTGGTCTAGGAGTACCTCGTTCAGCTTCTCGAACCCAAACCTTTGGGCGAGGCGGCCCAAAGCAGCCAGGTACTCCACAGCAGACTCCCCCACATTCTGTGAGCATTTGCGGAAGTCCCACCGGCGCGCCAACTAAGATGGTTGCGGCATAAACTAGTCTGCCAGAATCTTTAGGAGTTCCTGGCTAGTAACTTCTGCTAACTCCTTTGGCTGAATCAAATCTTTCACGAGATCAAGGACTTCCGCCCTGCATGAACTGATAAACAATGCGTTCTTTTTAGCCTCCATCTTTCACGAGATCAAGGACTTCCGCCCCTGATAAACTGATGAACTGATAAACAACGCCTTCTTTTTAGCCTCTGCTGTAATCTTACGGTACGCCAGATAGTAAGCAAAACTGTCTGCCCATGAGTCCCACCACTCTGGGCAGTTCAGGTTGAATGGCGGCAGCAATCCCTGAGCCTCCATTTCTTACAACGGCGGCGTATGTCAAGCAAGGTTGCCGGCCGTGTGGGCTCACAACCGGCAGCCGCCTGAAGCTTTTCCGATAGCTGGGGCTCAAGGGAATCCCATCCTTGTCGCCACTGTTCTGTAGTGAGTTCAAGACCAATAAAGAGTTCCCATCCTTGTCGCCACTGTTCTGTAGTGGGTTCAAGACCAATAAAGAGCCACATACACAGTAGTAATTCCACTTGGTTTACTCGCAACAACATAAAACACACACACACACACATATAAAAACCACCACCCACCAATGGAGGGTTTCTGACCCTCCCTTCTCTATTGGCTAATTGCCCAGCATCCTTGCTAATTGGGGGAGGGTAAGTTATCCTCTGAGGCTGTTATCCTAGGGAGCCAAGCTCAACCGCCTGACTCCAACTAAAACCTGGAGAGGACAATACTGGAGTTGATCTCAAGACATAACAGAATGGTTGGTGCAAACCACAGCCTATTGTGGCATGCAGACATGTAAAGGTTTATGATAAGATTCTCCTCATTAGTTGAACCAGCATTTTGGGTCATCTGCATTACTTTTTTGGTATGATATATAAGGGACATATTTTTATAATATGGGATGTTTTTTCATTGAATAACAGATTTGATATTTATTTTCTGAATAACCTGATGGGTGGGTGAAGTTCCTTTAAGGAGAACTCCAATTGTAGATATCAGCTACAGGAACATCGTTTGCACGGTATTTGATGTTGTATAGATGGCTTATTAAATGTGAGAGCTCATTTGTCTCAAATAACCATCTTAGACAGCCAGAACTGCATCACAAAATGGATGGTATTGTTGATGTACAATAAAGGTTTTGGTTCTGTATGGATAAAATACATCGCTGATATAAATTATGTGGCCAAATGAAGTTTGATCAAGGATGAAACCATTCAGTTGCATAGAATAACAAGAAAAAAGCTACCTTACACAGGGATGATCAGTGGGTTTCTCTTTCTCCCCTCCCCCTTTTTCCCCCCAGCACGAAACGGGTGGACCATTCCAATACAAGACTGGCACTTCAGATTGAAAAGGATGCAGGTATGGAAGCAGTTTTATTTATTCATGTTTATGATGATGGATTAGCCAAAATATTGAGCATATTGGATTGGATCCAGAGATAAATTATAAGGAGTAGCAAAAGCAGTTTTGTTCTTCAAAAGGTTGCAGAAGAATTCACACAAAATGGAACAAGCACAATCACTCACTGTTGCACAGATCCTTGCATGGGAATGTGGATAACATCTTGCGCTAATAGAATCATTCAGCTGCCTTCTCTCACACAATAAGCATGAGACCTTTTTTTAAAAAAAGGTATTTCGTATATTGAAAAACCCTTCTGTTTGTGGAAAGCAATCTCTGGTTCCAGCATATTATGTTTGCACCTTGGGGCATAAAGAAAAGAAAATTCAGTTGAAAAGGTTATTTTGGGTTTTGAAGCATTTGTGATTCAGGTGTGATTTTGAAAGGAAAAAACGCAAAAGATTTGTGAAGCTTAATTCACCTCACACTGAGTATAAATGGAGGCATAGTGATCTGTCAATTTTACTGGTTCAATAATATGTTCTCTCTGTGAATTGTAGTAGTACCAGTTAACCAACAGTGGATGAGTTGAGAACATTTAAAGTTATGCTGTGAAGGGAAAAGGGGAATGCAAAGAAAGACAAGCTGTGCAGAATATATTGCAGAATATATTGATTCCACTTGCTGTGCAGTGGTGAGAAAGATAAGCTCAATATGAAGTAAACTACAGCATAGAGTCTCAGATTACCGGGGGGAGGGGGGAGAACAAAAATTGGGTCCCATTAAAGTTTATGTAACTGGTTAAAAAAATTAAGGAAAAAAGGAAGACCCTCTGTTAAAATGAGTATTATAATTGGCACATGACAAAATGCAGACACACAACTACTGTAGAGTCCCTCTATAGAGAAAAAGGCAGCATAGAAATAAAATAAAAAATACCTAAAATTTCTTAGCATCTTCCAGTGTCATCTACATGCCAATACAAATGCAAATATAAATGTTATTCCTTCTATTTCCATTGACCTTTCTCTTAAAATGGCTGCAATCCTGTTGCACAGTCTGGGGATGATGTCAGCAGCAGTGGCAAATTGCCACAAGTTAAAAATACAAGTTGCTGTTAATTAAAGGCACTATCAGGTGCATGCTACTCATACACAGTGTGATGAAGTCACATACACTCATTTTGCTCCTGTTGCTGACATCATCCGCACTGCACATATAGAGTTGCACAGCAGGATTCAGCCAATGGGTCAAAGATTTGGTAATGGTGTGGGGCTTTTTAAGTATCATACAGTTTAGGCCTCGCAACATGGCTCTGACTGAAACTGTCCAAATTCCTTCTTCTACATAACTATTAAAGTTTCAGGAATCTTGTTGCCTCTAGATTGTCTGAATTTGAATGCTGAGACCTGAAGATCTGGTAAAGATGATACCTCTCCCTTACCTTCCTGATACACAATCTAGAATTCTGATATAAAAAATACACTAAAAATCAGCACATGATTTCTGCAGAAGTAACAAAACCTCCTTATTGTAGCCTGTCATGGCTTTTAGAAGTCCGTCATTGCCATTCGTAGCTGAGGTGCTGCCCTGTGCTCTAATTCCTCTAATTCCATTTTGATCTTTACCAATATATTCAAATAAGAAAGTCTGCTGAAAGTTTTCCACATTTACATTTCCAAGGACCCAAGGACCTTGGATAGCCTTTAAATAGAGTGTAATGGTGATCAGTGATGCGTAGAAGAAAATCAAAGCTCTACCCAAGCCAAACCATGTTAATTAGGCAAGAGAATTCAAACTCACTGGCAGTGTCAGTTAGACTATGTGACACTGTTTTGGCACACGTGGAATATTTTGCTTCATTTCATTAATCATATTTAGGTCCCTGTTTTAATTTGCCTTTAGCAAACTCTCTGTATACCAGAAGTGCTTAGGTTGGCAAATTAGACTTCACAGTCCTCAAAGGATTGATCAGTTTAAAGAGGCAGTGTGGAACTGCGGGCAATGTACTGGACATGGACCAAGAAACCTGGGTTCAGAACGTCTTGCTCAGCCAAAATCAGATTTGTTGTTGAAAGAATAAAGGTCTGTAATGTATAGTTCACATGTAAGTAAGTAACTAAACAAACAATAAATTATCTGGCAATTAGAATTACTTTGCTCCTTCCTCCAGATATACCATATGGCTTAAATTTCAGTAATGCTTGACATTTTTCTGCCATAAATTTCCAGGCCAACAACATTCTTAATCAAAGTTGGCTATTTGAGTGATTTCATGTGTTTCATTGTATTTGGGCATTGATATATTTGGCATAGAAAGACTTTGGCTTATTTAACCTTGATTACATAAGAACATAGGTGAGGGCATCCATCCAGAAGATGGTGATATGTATAGTTGATGTTGGGCATGACTCAACCATTTATGTTGGTTCACTCCCAAATAATCTAGATAGGAACAGTATAATAATAGGTTCATTAAGACTCACCAAAATTCATCCATCAAAAACAAATTAAGGTTTGGGTATCACAGAATGCTTCCTTAGTCTTGTGTTGTACTATAGATGGTGTTTCAACCATGCTCTCCAACTGTATCGTCATTTTCTACACTTCTTCCTTAAGATTTTTTTCTTTTTAACCTTAAATCTGACAAAATGCTCTTGAAACTCAAAATCCATGTGAATTCCAGTACTGTTGTTTTGACTTTAACTTTAATCACTTATTAATGCAATAATGCCTCTCGCTACTTATCTGCATGGAATCAAACTAAAATAATCAACTTTTAATTGTCTGAATTTCTGTTACCTTGTCTGTGAAGCATTTCTTATCGATTTAGTAAAGCCACAGTGTGGTTATAGAAGCTACATTAGGTTGGTTTGTTTCATTTTTAGTTATTAAATCATGGCCAAATATCTTATTATTGCTTAAATTAGGCTATATATGATGGAATTGGGAAACTGCAGTTCTTTAATAAATCATGATGTGTGAAGTTCAAGCCATTAGTGTACTTGTTAGCTTTGTTGAACACCCTATACACTCTGCTGAAGGAGGATGAGATAAACTTGGAGAAACTTTTTGCAAGCAAGCAAGCAAATAAAACTGGACATCCCCATTCATGTCAGTGTAAAACGGCTCCTCCCATTTACACCTCTCTTAGCGGCACGTCCCAACTTGGCACTCCTGATGTGTTATTATAGCTGGTTGCAGGATTATGGGAGTTGTAGTCCAACTCAATTACTGAGTCCTAGGATGCTGGAAGTTGCTTTAATGTATGTAAAGCAGTATAAGCAAAGTATTTGGCTATTTGGAATCTAAGAACTATCATATAATGACACAGCAGACACAGTCCCTCATGGTGAAGTGTGGTATGTAACATTTGATGATGAAATGGCTTTCTAAGAGGATTGGCCTAACAATCTTCCATCTGAGTAAACAGTAAAAAGTATGCAGAGTTATCTTGATGGTGATTTCTTCTTCTTCTTCTTCTTCTTCTTCTTCTTCTTCTTCTTCTTCTTCTTCTTCTTCTTCTTCTTCTTCTTCTTCTTCTTCTTCTTCTTCTTCTTCTTAACAGCCCCTTTTACATCCTTTGTGTTGTTGTGGTTTTAGGAAATGATGATAATCTCAACTCTATCTTCTATGAGCACCTGACAAGATCTCTGCAGGAATCTCTTTGTGGAGATTTGATTCTTGGGCGCTGGGGAAACTACAGCTCCGGAGACTGCTTTATTTTGGCATCAGATTATTTGAATGCCTTTGTCCACTTAATTGAAATTGGAAACGGTCTCGTCACTTTCCAACTCAGGGGACTAGAATTTCGAGGTAAGCACCCTTATAATTCAAAAAGTGGGTATCTAGAGGAAGAGTAAAATATCCATTGGCCGTGTGTCCATTTGCTATTCCAAGAAGCAGCATAAAGTTATCCATTGGTTTGCTGTTAACATCATTTCAACTTTGCCCAGGGGAATTTTCATCAGTTGCTACTGGGGACATAGTTAAGCAGGAAGTAGCAAAGCTGAAGTATTTTTCTTATCACAAAATTGGGGATTTCTCATCACAAAGCAGAGGCTCTAATGTTGTAATAGAGCTTCTGAAATAGTGGTCTGGGTGGTGGATTAGATATTAGCTCTGGTGTGACGTGAGAAAAGGCTTGCAGCTCAATCCTATGATATTTCTTTGAAAAAATAAATCTCTCTGCATAGAATTATTACTTTAGCCGTTCAGTATCTATCAGTATCTAGCGATGTATGGAAGTGAGAACTGGACCATAAAGAAGGCTGACCGCCGAAGAATTGATGCTTTTGAATTGCAGTGCTAGAGGAGACTCTTGAGAGTCCCCTGGACTGCAAAGAGAACAAACCTATCCATTTTGAAGGAAATCACCCCTGAGTACTCACTGGAAGGTCATATCCTGAAGCTGAGGCTCCAATACAGAAGACTCCCTGGAAAAGACACTGACGTTGGGAAAGTGTGAAGGCAAGAGGAGAAGGGCATCAGAGGATGAGATGGTTGGACAGTGTCACCGAAGCTACCAACACGAATTTGACCCAACTCTGGAAGGCAGTGGAAGACAGGAGGGCCTGGCATGCTCTGGTCCATGGGGTCACGAAGAGTCAGACATGACTTAACGACTAAAACAACAACAACAATAATCTATCTTGTCTACTGGTTTCACATATCTTATTATTTCTACCAGTATTCAGTACTGGGCAGTTTGAGAGAACTAAATATATCAATCACTCTTAGGGTTTTTAAACCTTTACTCAGTATTTCATTACTTGTGTATCTCAGCGTTCGCAGTTAGCTGCAATGGGCAGAGATTTTGAAAGCCTTCTGCTCATTGCCAGAAAACCTCAGTCATGCTTTTGCAGTGAATTAGGCAACATTTATTTAATTTATTTGCTTTGAGAAATAAATTCATAATGAGTAATTATATCTGTTCTTGTAGATACATAGCTGTGTGATTGAGGGAGAACTCTCCCACACTTTTGTAATACCTCCATGATAAGGGACATGAAGTGGCCCTTCGAAAACAATTCAGACTTTGAAGAACCAAACTTCCTAGTTTAAAATTCAGTTGGTCGCCTACAAAGTGTGAGTGTGCTGAATTTCTAGACCAAACTTTGCAGGGCTGAACTTCACATTTAATTAATCATCTTCTTTGAACATATGGATATTCAACATTTCTCAAAAATGAGATGTGGTCATCTCGCTGACTGCTCACTGTGTCACACAGCAGAAGGCATCGGTGTACTGTTTATTTCTTCATTCATTCATTCATTCATTCATTCATTCATTCATTCATTCATTCATTCATTCATTCATTCATTCATTCATTCATTCATTCATATTTATACTTTGCCCATCTAGTGGCAAGCCACAATTTAATGCTAACTCCTGTATGATGATGAACTTAGACACATACTTCTTGAACAACTTTTGATGTTCCAAAAATGGTACCTAATTCTGAGTCTTTGTAGCCTCACAAAAGATGCTGTGTGATAAGGCAGAATATTATCAGAGCTCAGAAAGCATACTTATTTGGTGTACAACCTTTTGGAGTTGTAGTCCAAAAATAACTTTTTCCAAGTTCTAGATAATGTATATGTGCAGTTCCAACCTTACCTACCAGAAACCTCTCTTACTGAATTGACTATAAACTACTACTGAATAAACATATTCAGGCTAGCTGGGAGTGCAAAGATTTCCTCTCCACAAAAATGTGTAGAATACAAAAACCACTCTTTCGGAAGTACATACCATTCTCTCTGTAAGTGCCATATCATTGCTCATCACCACTGGGTTTGTTTTCTTTGTAGGTTCCCTTCCTCAGGCAACCCAGTAGAGAAAAATAGATATGGTGAAATGAGAAATTTTAACAAGATGCCCCACATTTCTTCCTTGAGGAAGAGAAGTTTTCAGAGTAGAGCAGTTGAGCTTAATTGGTTGCAAAGAAAACAGTGTGAAGCTCAGTGGTTCCACTTCAAAGAGGTTCAGGAATATACCTTTTGGTGCTGACACACACGGCACATGCTGCTTGCATCCCTAAAGTATAACTCAGAATTTGAATTGAAAAAGCAAAAGCTACAGACTGCTTGGTCAATTAGGTTGCTAGGCCCTTTCAAAGTAAGTGAGAGGGTGGCCCACTAAAGGATATACTTTAAACTATATATATATAGTTTAAAGGTTTTTTTTTAAGTTTAATATGTCTACTCATATCATGGAAGGCTTTTTTAAAAAAGCAGCAAGAATACAGCACCACAATCATGAGAGAAGAACCAAAAAGCAACCTATTACTCTTCTTTTTCAAATCTTATTTTGCTCTGTTCTTGGTATTTCCTCTTGCTGAATGTATATTTCTATTCATGCCTTTGTTGTTGTTTTTCCTTTCAGCAGTTTTTTAAAACGAGGGCTTGTACTGTCTCCTATATTCTTAATCTATAAGAAGAGCTAAGCTTCTTGACTGCATATGCAGTGCAGCTATTATGTATGTTCTTAATTCTACGTAGTTTTTTGTGCTTGTGTCTGTCTTGCTCAGTGGATGTTTAAGCTGCTGCTTTTCATTAAAAAGTTCTTTACCCAGCTTTTTTTCTGTTTATGTTCTTAAGTTCCTTTTTTTGTTGTCCAGATATTTGATGTGTGTGTGTTACATTAACACATTGCATTTGTGTTGCAACAGCTCTCCTTCTGTTTGTACGGATCTGAAGTTACAATTTAATCAATAGTAACAATCAGTTGCTGAAGTTGATGTTCCGTTTCTATGAGAAAATACGGGAGAAATGTGACCAGTGTATAAGTCTGAGGCTCCAGCATGCTATTTGGCTAACAGCAGAATAATTTTTTTTAAAAAAATCCAATGCAAACAGTTTTATTACATTGTAGAGCATAGTTTTCATCAATGCATGTTTTCTGTTAGGCAAAAGGTTGTTTTGGTTTTGCCTTAGAGAACTGTATGTGTTTCCTATTCCTAAAATCCATTGGTTTTCCATGTCAAAGAGATCATGTTCGTCATGATTAATTTTACAAATGATGGTCAATACCTCTGCAAGACCAAATGCCTGTGCAGTCAGTTCCAAGACACAGGAGAGAGAACTGTTAAGCCCAAGTGTACTAAAATGAGATGCATGTTCCCAAATAGTCAGGAATCCAGAGCTGTGAGAGGAGAGCAGATAGAGATGCACAAGGCAGAATCTGAGGCAACAGTTGAAAATGAGAGAGAATGAGAGTGAGAGAGAGCACTTAGGCAGAGTGCATTCCAGCATGTTGCCCAGACTAAAGAGGTATTTCTGAGCCTAGGGCCAGCCCAGTGTACTGGAATTGGTTGTGCTCAGCTGGAAGAACTGTTATACTGGTGGTTCAAGAGATGAGGCACTGAAATCTGACCATGGGGTACCCAGTTAGCCATATCTCTGGTGCTTTACATGCAGTAAGACATAATAACAAGTTAGAGAACAAAAATGAACAAACAGAAATATCAGGAATTCTGAAAGTATTCAGAATTCCACATGAGGAAAGCACAAAAAGCTGAATATTTTCAAAGGGATCCTTATTTAGACTGTATTACTGCTTGTTGCAGCAGAACGTCCTAAGGAAAAAACATTCTGTTACTGACTGGCATGGGAAAACCTGTAGGCATAATGATGCATTTAATTCAGTGAATTCTGCTAGTATTCATGAAGCTTTCTCAGAAATGAATGTCTAAAAAAACACCTCATAGGCAAAAGTTAAACTTTATTTGAGAGCTGGTAAGGTGATTAGATGCCTAGAAGGATATGGCTTCAAATCTGTTTACGACTAAAAGGACGGAATTTGAGAGCTGCAGCTGGTCCTACAGGGGTGATAAAAACTGCACCTGCTAAAATTAGTTCTTCTTTAAGAAAGGTATAGGAATCGATTCCCTTTCTTTCTTGCTTGCTTGCTTGCTAAGAAATACAAAAATAAGTAAAAATATCAAGAATTTAAATAAGACTTTAAAAAGGCAAATCAGATGAATTATTATATCCTATTTAAACTTCTGGAGGAGAAATCCCGACGAAGCAAAAAGCATCCAGACTTGAAAGAAAGATTCAAAAGCTAAAAACTAACAAGGCTTCCATAAATATACTGTACATCATATCACCATCTCTTTCCCTATAGGGAATATTCAAGCCTGGTGGTTGAGATCCATGAGCTGATGTTTTCAGTGGTAATGGCAAGAAGTGTAACCAATTACCATCACACGTAACACAGCCAAAAATCAATGTCAATTAAGAGTTACAATTATTTAATCATACCTTAGTTCTTTGTAGCTATCCGAAACAGAAAGGGATGTTTTCTCAGAATGACATTAAACTGCTCCTAATTAAAACATTACAACCTAGAACAGCGATGGCGAACCTATGGCATGTGCGCCACAGGTGGCATGCGGAGTCCTTTCTGGTGGCACGCGAGCCATAAGTCACCAGATTGCTACTCCCCCCCCACCTGCACAGCCAACCCTGAGAAGGACACCCCTGAGAAGGCGGCTGCAGCCATGGTGCTGACGCTTCAGCAGGCGGAACCGGAGCAGCTGGTGCTGGCAGCGGATCCGGAGTGGGGTCTTGAGGCATCTCCGTCCCAGGATTCCCCCTTCCACTGCCACTTCCAGTTCCACCACCGTCACTTCTGGTTCTGCTACCACAGCACGCCACCCACTGTTCTCCCCCCGAGTTTGGGCACGTGAGCCCAAAAAGGTTCACCACCACTGACCTAGAACTATTGATTTGCTTATTCCAACCAAAATTTCAAAGGTGGAATATTTGTATTATAATTACACCCATGCACGTGCAGTTGTGACTGTCAAG